CGTACGACCCCCAGTCCGGATGTTGGCTCGAAGCTCCTTCAACGATCTCCAGCTTTCTTTAACAAGCGCTTTTCCTCGATTCTCGGGTAGGACATCAATACGATCCTTCAGAGGAATCCTAAACTTGGGGAAATCCACGTTGCGGTAGGGCTTTACTGGAGGTTCGGGATCTAAAGTTGACGACGGCCGAAGAGCAACGTCGCCTGCTTTTGCCTTAGGCGCTGATTTGGCCTTTGGCACCCAAACTTGTTTGGATCTCGGCGATCTCTTAACTGCCTCCTCCTTTTGCATTTCTTGTGCTTTTTGCACAAGGGTCCGGGTATGCGCAAGCAAGGTGCGGCGCTTCTGGATTCGCTCCTCGAAAGTAGAACGGGTTCTTTGGACACGAACCCATCTGTTCGTTTCTGCCTTGGAGGAGGAGTTGGTTATGCGCAGTTGTTGCTCTTGGCGCTGTCTGGACTTTAGATCTTCGTTGTAGCGGATCCCGTCCATCGGCTCCAAAGCCTTGGCCAGCTGACGAGCAAGGCGTTGACGCCGTCTTTGGCGTGCCCTCTTTGATTATGCTGGAGCGTCTTCAGTAGCCATCTTCTCGGCGGAGGAGAAGTTCGGATCTGCGGTCTCGACCACGTTGGATGACGCGGGGACGTCGCGTGGTGCGGGCGCAGCGGCGGCAATGGGATCTTGGATCTTCGAGCCGAAGGTCCCGCGAACATTTCTGGAAGAGGATGCCTTCCTGCGCCTGTTCGGAGAGGCGGATCTGGAAGAGGAGGAAGAGAGGTACTCTTCAAACTTTTGTCGATCGAACTCGTATTCGATCTCTTCATTCACCCGGATCTTGAATGCCGGTTGCGTCACGACTTAGTCGTTACAAATGAATTCAAATAACAAAGAAATAAAAATTACAACTTTCTTGAAAATAAACGCAAGATCCGTTTATCGTCTCTTGCTTGCGTGGGTCTTTGGCCTGTGACGGGGACGTCGATATCCGTGGACTACCTGGCACTCAGATCTGTTCCTGAAAAATCGGACAGAGCTTCGTCGATCCGCGAGGAGATCTAGAAGCCTGAAGCGCCTATCTCGGCTAAAACGAGATATTTGCTCTTCTTAGGATTACCGGCGAAGGGTAATACTAAGGAACGGGCACGGGTGATGAAGAATCTGATGAAGACCTCTCCTCTGTTGAAGCGCTCGACCACTCTTCACTATAGCAGGGCTTCGCCAACTCTCCAAAATCTAGATCCCCAAAAATAAGGCCTTGGGTGGCTATTTATAGGCAATGGGAGCACCTAGGGTTCCTAGACACCCCTGGGGTGTTTCGACTTTCCCGAGACACCCCGGGTGTCCCAACTCAGCCTGAGACGCTCCTTTGCGTATGTTTAATTGTTTTCGCCGTAAATTCTTCGTCCGAACTCGGATTTGAGTGATTCCAAGTGCGTTGGAAGCTTGACGAAGAGTTCTATCTGCTCCAATGGTTGGATTATCTGTAGAATGAACGAGGCTCGAAGGGCATTGTCCTTTTTGTGAACATCGCCGGGTTCCTGGTTGGCCCGGGTCTTCGTTGTTCCGAAATCCTATCAGCTCACGTAGTTCGTCGATTCACTTCAATCGTTCATCGACGTCAATTGAACTTCTGTGGATCAGATAGTGACGTTCATCGTCGCCCTTTAACATTGAACCGTTCGTGAAGACCTATAGGCAATTTTCGATGCCTACAACAGGGATAGAGCAAAGGTAATATTATTGAAATAACAGAAATTTTTATTGGATGCACATCAGAAGAATTCATTTTAGAGGAAAATAAAGAGATAGCTTCTAATTTATTTAAGTAATAAATTAGGAACACAAAGAATTTTATATATATATAATTAATATTTATTCTCATTAAAATAGAAAAAAAATCAAAGTCTATATTTTGAGCAGTTTGTGTTGAACATCATAAGTACATTTGACTTCTTTGTAAAGTTAAATGAGATGATAAAAAATTAACGAGCACAGGAAAGATAATAGCATAAAAAAATATAAAATTAGCCTGATGTCACAATTGATGTAGATGATGAAGACAATACTCTAGAATTGTCCGAGAAATGATAAATGATAAACCTGAAGAAGGATTGATCTTAACTCAATAAAAAATAAAATAGAAGAAATAAAAACAATATTTTATGAATATTTTATAGAATAGTTTAATTATTTTGAGTGAAATTAGGAATCTTTAGAAGGGAGTTTCATGAATTTTTTTCAGTACTTTTATATTCTTATGTGGATGTTTTTATCATATAAAAGTATACTAGAGTTAGCATTAATCTTTAATTTATATTTTTTATGAAGTCTATCAATGATTAGGAATAAACTTCATATTCTCTTTTGCATCGTTTTAACATACTTTAAATCAATCATTTTGCCATATTGGTTTTAAATATTCACCTTCCTTGTATAACACTATTTTAATATTTTTCACTTTGCAATGCTATACTTTCTCAAATAAAGCTTAGTTTCATATCGGTCAAAAATAATATGAAAATTCAAATTATTTTTAAATTATATTTGTTTTTTGTCAATTCAAATATCAACATGAAAATTTAAATTGGGTGTATCCCATTTAAACAAACATAAAAAAATAATCGGGATGTAAGAGTTTAAAGAAAAAAATGAGCACAAACTGCCAAAAATACTTAATCATGGTATTAAATCACGTGCATTGCACGTGTGTAAAAACTAGTAAAATCAAAAGCTCTGCACTTCCTAAATCCATACCCATGCTCTCTTCTTTAATAAAAGATTAGAGTTGGTGGGGATTTGTGTCTACTTTATGATGATGATTGTGCCACATAGGCGTCAAGGAGGAAATCCCCTCATATGACAAGGATATCCATTAATCTCATATGAGATTAATGGGTATCCTTATCATATGAGGGGATTTCCTCCTCGACGCCTATGGGCTGTTTGGTTGTTGTAGGTAAAGTTGTGTATTTATGACACAACTTGGAAAGTTGTTGTCCACCTCATCACTTTCACTTTTATACTTTTCATTGTTTGTTTTTGATTTCATTGGAATCATAAAACATTTGTTTGGTTTGCAAATTGAAACTTTAAAAAGTGGTTATTGTGTGGTCCCTACTCAAATGATCATATTACCATAGGTAAAGTTACCTCTCTAAAAAGAGAAACCCCCTTCCCCAAAAAAATAACAAATTTTTATGACCAATATATTCTATTAAGTTCTTTAATCCAATAAATTAACAAACTATTGATTTTTAAAAATAAACATGTTGAACAAAATTTCACAAACCATCACATAGCTAGTATGAAATTTTGTTGGATATCACCTAAGATAGTGCAACCATAATGTTCATTGCAACCACTATATATTCACTATTACTAGATAAAAATAAACATAATATGATGAATATATAATAGATATCATTGCAACGAAAAAGATAAATAAATACTTCCATCTTGCAATAAACCTTAGTTAATTGCTAAACACAACTAGCAAGGATGTCACTAATACTTGACATCAAAGTTTTTTTTCCAAAATAACTCATCCAACTCACAATATCACAACTAAAAATAAAGTTTAGTCATCCAACCCACAACAAAAGCAAGTAAAATAAATCAAATCCTACATTAAAGTTCAAATTCACCCAAATATTCAACAAAAGGTATTATCTTCTATCCAAAATAGCTCATCCAACCCACAACATCACAACTAAAAATAAAGTTTAGTCATCCAACCAACAACAAAAACAAGTAAAATAAATCAAAGCCTACATTAAAGTTCAAATTCACCCAAATATTCAACAAAAGGTATTTTCTTCTATCCAAAATAACTTATCCAACCTACAACATCACAACCAAAAATAAAGTTTAGTCATCCAACCCACAAAAAAAGCAAGTAAAATAAATCAAAACCTACATTAAAGTTCAAATTCACCCAAATATTCAACAAAAGGAAATATCTTCTATCCAAAATAACATATCCCTAGCTTGAATCCTCATCAATATCATCCCCAACATTTCTATTGTTGTCCAAGTGATACTTCAAGACATGGTCTTTCATCCAAGTCACTTGAGATTCCAATGGCTTCACTATGAATAGCCTAGCTTGTTTTTCATTATCATATAGATGATCGAGCACATGATCCAATACATGTTGTGGGAATTCACGAAGAGAATATATGCTCTCGGCCAATTTTGCACTATAGTGTTGATTGCCTTCTTTAATTGCGGATGCAATTTCTCCCACTTTCTCAAGAAAACTTGTCATCTCCTCAGAATCCTCATTTCGTACAAGACGACGTTTGTTTGCACGTGATGATTTGTCAATTCTAACTTTAGTTTTTACATTTTTCATCTTGTTAGCTTTCGCCTCCGTGGATGATCCAACTTGAATAGGAGAGCTATCATTCTCAACGGGTAAGTCAAGATCAATTACCTCATTGGCTACTCCTTCAAAATTATCGTACGCATTTTTTTAAACTCTCCAGTTACGAAATCATCTCCGATAATTAGCTTCAAGTCATCGTAGTGCTTCAAAGCCTTGTTCACGTAGTCCTTGAGTCTTGGATTTTCTACAAAATAATAGGACATATAAGAAATATTTACACTAATTCCATGTTCAGTCAAAACATATGTAAACACTCAAGCTGCAGCAGCTGAAGATACACACACAGTATGTGTGTATCTGCAGATACACACAACATGTGTGTGTATCTGCAGCAGCAGCAGATACACACACAGTGTGTGTATCTTGTGTATCTGCAGCAGTAGCAGATACACACACAGTGTGTGTATCTTGTGTATCTGCAGCAGCAGCAGATACACACAACATGTGTGTGTATCTGCAGCAGCTACAGAGACACATGTTGTGTGATGTGTATAGGATGTACTTCATGGGATCAAATACATTCAGCGAGCCTTGGCATCTCCCACATTCTCCCCCAGAACAAGTTGTTGAGATTGTGTAAGTGGTGTTTCCTTTAATTTAAATTTATGTTAACCGAAAACAGAACCTTCACAAAATTGAGCATATTAATCTACACCAATGGCATAGTTTAATGGCATATTAATCTATAGCCTTTGATTGATGCGGCATATTTAGAGAAGTGCAATGGATTTAGACACTAATATACAATTCATGTAGTGGAAACAATATAAAATTAAATCTAAAAGCAGAAAATTAAGAAATTATTACCCTTGCCCATGTGCTATAAACACTTGGATCAAGTGTTATTGTTTTTGTTTCTTCATCCCAACCGGCGCCACTGATTTCATGACATTTTCGCATGTCTAGATAATGATTCCGAAGAGTTCTATAGTGGTTTCCCACATTGTCCTTGGTAAATAACTGATGGAATTTTTCAGTACATGCTTTAGCCGCATTATTGAATGCCCTAGACCGCATACTCTTGTCACACTTTCCACCATTCCTAGCTTCATTGGCCAAGAAAGGAATGAGGAAATCATCAAGCTCATCATCCCACATGATGTTTCCAGCTTTCTTCACTTTCATAGTTTGATTAAGTTTTTTTGAAGGTGACGAAACTTCCTCATCTTGTTCACGAGCTACCCTCTTAGACCCGCCACTAGCTTCCGATGAGGGGATTTCAAATGATAATGATCTTGGCGTTCCACTCATGGGTGAACTTTGTGATCTCATTTGTGGCATTGGTGTACCATTTAAAAATTGCATCCATGGTCCACAAGCATAAGGAGGAGGCATCATACCTGACATGGGATTTTGGAAAGAACCATATCCAGATGTTGGAGTTTGGAAAGAACCATATGAGAATGGAATTTGGGGCATTCTTCCTGTAGGGCTATTATCATGAAGTGCTACATTTGAATTTCTACTCTCTTGACTATCTCTATTTTGAGAATAAAATTTCGGACGAAATGAGCCATTTTGATTCTCCATCCCTGCTTGCAAAAACATTGTCAAAAGAAAAAACAATTATCATCAAGTATTACAAATAGCAAAAATATATATCTTTTAAGACGTTATCAAATCCTACAAATCACAAGTTTAAAATTCTACATAAAGCAACACTACATACCACATTGCATACATGTTGAAATGATCTAGAATTTACAAAACATGTTGAGATGATCTAGAGCACTTATACAAGAGATCTTACTCAAAGAACTACTGCTGGAGTTATTCACTTCTGCAACAGAGCAAAACAGTGCTCTGACATTCCCATCATCACTAAAGTCTAAACCAAACACTTCACAAATAAATTTTTAACAAAAGAAAAACTCCAACAACAGTAAACAAAAAATTGATTCGCCTTCTATTACTATCCAAAGTTCTTCAACAAAACAAACCAAATCATCTCACTGAACTTCTCTATAGAAACAAAAACAAACAAATTGAATCTCAAATCCTACAAATCACAAAAATATATATCTTTTAAAATGATCAAATCCTACAAATCACAAGTTTAAGTTCTACATAAAGCAACACTACATACCACATTGCATACATGTTGAAATGTTCAAATCCTACAAATCATAACAAAGTTTAAATTGCATAACATAGCACATTACAAACATTACATATAAATCTCAAAAAGGTGTCTCATACGTGACTCCTTTACGATGTCGATTACAATATTCAATCCACATTTCATATGCAATTTGATCTCGCCGTGACTTCCACTCTTCCCGCGTATCAAGTTGTTCTCGTTGAGTCATTTGTTGTGTAAAATCAATAATGGGTGCATCTTCATTCAAGATATCTCCATCCTCCTCATTTACATGCATAAACTCATTCAAGAACTTATCATTCGGATCAATAATAGCAATATAATTATGTAAAATAGTACATGCAATTACGATGTTTACTTGACTTGGGAAAGGATGATGAGGTTTGGCAGAAAGAATCTTGAATCGACTTTTCAAGATTCCAAATGTGCATTCTATCTTACTACGAAGTGATGAATGCCGAAGATTGAATAACTCTCGACGATTGTTAGGAACTCTTCCACTATGTTCTTTCAAGTGATATCGTACACCACGATAAGGAGCAATGAATCCCGGCATGGTTGGGTATCCAGCATCACACAAATAATATTTTCCTACAATATTGATGAAGTGCATTATTATATTACATATAACCTACTAATATATTGACTAATTTATCATCTTAATCGAATTTTTGTTTATGTCTTACCTTCGTAGACTCTCAAACCATTTGGTGGGGGCAAGGATAGTGCATCCTTAAGAATTGTGAAGTCATTTGCAGCTCCCTCCCAACCAGCCATCACATATGTGAATCGTTTATTTGGTGTTACTGCAGCCAAAACATTTTGTGTGATCCCTTTGCGTCCTCTAAATTTAGGAGCATCTTTAGTTGGTACTGTTGCATCTATGTGTGTTCCATCTATTAGACCAATACAATCCTAAATAAAAAAAAATCTTTCAAGATCCTAATTAGTATCATCTCAATAGAATAGCTATAATTGTTTATAATTAATATACGTAACTTACCTTGAAAAATGGAAACCATTGACTAGATTCCATAATTTCTGCCGGAGTTTCATTTGGGGCTTGTTTCATAAACCTATCCCGAAGAGAAAAAATAGCTCCTAGAACTTTATTGAAATACCTGCTAATAGTCTCCCCGGAACGTATGAAGTCAATTCTGCAAGCCCTATTCTTGGACTTGTGTCCCATTATGTAGAGAAATGTAGCCAACTGTTCTTCTATAGGAACATGGATTGTGTCCTTCAATAAGCCCTCATCTCTCATCATTTGAGCTAAGTTCATAAAAGGTCCAATGCGCATCCTGAGATAGTCTTGACAACTCGATGTACTACCATTTAATATCTGACGCATATGAGAATGTCTGTCTAAGTCTCTTACATACGAAGGATGACGAGTGATGTTATGTTTTTTAAGTGGACGATGTTGATATCGGCGTATGAATACCATTAGCATAACTAGTACAGTAGCAACAGCAGCTGAATTGTTCATCCTACGTACAACTTCATTTTTGTCCATCTTTTTTATATATTGTAAGAAAGTAATTAGTTTTTGAAAGTAAGAAAGTAAAAGTAATAAATTGTAGACTAAGAAAGTTATATACATTCAAGCTTTTGAGTAAATCATGATTCCTGAGAAATAGTGCATGAAAAGAATAGTGCATGAAAAGAATAGTGCTTGAAAATTCCATACAACAAAATGTTAGAACAATATATACTTGAGATTATTTAGAGCCTCAAAACTACGATTTATCGTTTATTTAGTTTTTGTTGGGTAATTTAGTACAGGGGGCTATACTACAAAACAATAGAAAAATCCATAACAATAGGATATGATAATTAGACAACTTTGGTAACATTATTTTGTTGGATTTCTCTACATTTCGGACAATTTAACTACTGATAGAATGAAATTGATGGCATTATTTTCTTTACATGTATTTTTTCCGTGACCAAGTTTATTTCTGACGTAACAACTATTCTTTGCAAACCTCACAATCAAATGAATTCAGAAACTTCCATGTACTAAATTAGATATCAAGAAATAAAATCTCCAACTATTCCCACCAAACTATACCTACCACTTTGCAACAACATGGCTTCATTGCCAAACTTAACCGTAGAATTAAAGATTTCTCTCTTCCTTGATCTAGATGCCAAAATTTCTTCATAAAACCAACAAACTAATATTGGTCCATTTAGGGAAATTTCAACACCAAAACATTCTTTGAACTTGCAGCATTTTTTTTGTTTCCACATGTTCAACCTTCACAAAATTCCAAACACCCTCATCAATAGAAGCCTGCTATATGGTTAGCCAAAATTACCCATAAAATTCTACAAAATTATAGCTAACTTCAGGTTTTTGACACAGAACCATCCGAAAGCACAGCCACAAATTAGCCGATCATTAACAAAGTTCAAACTTTGAAAGCTACAGCCCTCTTTAACAACAATCAGTGTGAAAGCTAGAGCTCTCTTTAACAACAATTAAAGAAATTTGAAAGGGAACTTGAAATAATAGAGAAAGGCAAAATTTTTATACCTCGACCAAATCCTTTCCTCGAGCGGATCTACCCTCAAGCAAACGATAGAGTCGCCGGTGTTTTCGACTCCGACTTGAAGCGAAGCAAACGACGGAGACAGAGGCGGCGATTTTTCTTCTTCTCCGACTCTTGAGGCGCAGCCAAGAGTGGAGGAGAAAGGGTGAAAAAATGAAAGCTTGAGGCGCAGCCAGGAGAGGAGGAGAAAAGGTGAAAAAATGGTAGCTGAGAGAAAGAGGCTGTTGGTTTTTTTAGTATTTTTTTCTGACTTGTTGTCAGCTTTCTGCCCAAATCACCTCTTTTTTTTTGTGAATTGCC